CCCCAGTCCCCAGAAGTTTCTCACGCTTCTTACTTCCAAGGAAGGCAACATGTTCAATCATATGAGCAACTCCTTGCTCATCATCTTCCTCATCGATAGATCCCACATGAACTTCCATATGAGCTTCAAACCTATACTTCAAACACAGATCCTTGTAGAAAAACAGGCGAGAATGAAGATGCATAATTTCTTCAAATTGAAACACTTGGATGGTCAATTGGGGATCATAAATGTATCTCAAAACGTAAGGCCACTTACTTCCAACAAGTACTAAAATTGTAACCGGACTGTAGATTTCCACTAAATTTTTTTTATTTAAGTTACTAGGAATCCCCTTTGATTTTAAAATATCCACAGGAACTGTACATTGTCATACACTTGTATGTATTGTTGTCTCTGCTTCTATGGTGAAAATGATGTTTGCTAAAGAACATGTAACTCCATCAATCTTTAGTTCAAAATCATGCACCATCCATCATCCGAAATTTTATCTTTAAGATTATTACACAGTAACTGTTCTCTCCAAAAGCTTAACTACTTTGGAATGCCAATGAAAATATGTAAGAGTGTGTGTAAAAAAGACAATACGCCCTGCCTCCACTTTAAAAGATACAAATTCAGGCAGGTCCTAAAGTAAATGACTTAGCTCTACTTGAAGTCGTCCATTCAAGACAGAGAATGAACTATACAAGCATCAAGTATAGGGACCATATGCAAATCACTCTTTTACCCATCAAAGGGAATAATATATCTAGCATTCTTTTTGAAGGACAAGGTCCTATGACAACAATGTAGCTGTAATCGTCAAAGGTTCCCTAGAATATTATCATTTTCATTAACAAAGAAAAATCATAGTTACCGTGATTAATCTACTAATAAGATCATATTCAACTATAATAAAGAGGACGTATAAATGGTCTGTTTACTCAATTGCAGACGATGTGCCACATAAACTACTACTCGATAGTGAATAGAAGAATCACAGTATAGTAACTTGATAGCTTGAACAGTAATTACGATTACTGCAGGTCTTCACTCAGTCATACTGGCAGGTTATTTCTGAGAAGTCATATAATTAACAATCCTTTCATTTTATTCCCCAGAGTGAAGCAGTAACTGCTGCCTTGCAGTTATGCATGCTGAAAGGACAGGAACTATATTAAACCAACACTGTACGCTCTAAAGAATAAAGGGGAAATCTTAAACTTTTGACCTATATAAATCTTTTTAGATGATCATAAACCTCCCTTTAACCAATCGAGCGTTAGAACATTTCATTCTCCTCCCCAAGATGCTTAAATTCTCAGAGTTCAAACAAAATGAGACAACACCAGTGGCTCCACTCCTTGTAGCATCAATTCCTAATAGCATGAAATATTGCCTGTATGTCCTATTGTTTACTTTATAATGCTTTGCATTAGTTTTAATAGCAAAAGTTGCACATAAGATGTCCTCTAGTTTTCTGTATGTTTCTGCTATTTCTTTTGTATCTTAACGCCAATTGTTCATGTTAGGCAACTGTCTTAGTCAAAGTACAGAGCTTTCAATAAATCTCGTTTATGTCTCCCACTTTTTTTTTGCTAGGACTTTTGCAATCTTGTAATTGTCCTTCTGGATAAAGATACAGTTCTAACAAATAAACCAACAAAAACGAGAAACAGTGAAACATGGGTGAATTAACAAATGAATCACTCACTCAATAAAAATTATGAGTTAAACATGAGTCACTTAATGAATTAATCACGCACTCAACAAAAATTATGAGCTAAAAGAGATGGTGAGAAAAAAAAAAAAAAAAATGCATCCAGCAACTGAAGGATGAAGCAAAGGGATAGGGTCTATAATATATATTACTACAACACATAGGAACATAGACAAGGAACAAATTTTCACACTGCAGTGAAACCTGTAATATTTGATTGGCATTCTACCATAAGACTTGGAACAAGCTAAAATTCATTTATCATGTCAAGCAGACAGAGTTAAATGCTAAAGAACTGCACCTATTAGGAGGGACTTTGTTTGGCAAGATGAGATAGCGGAGCCCGTTTTTCAGCTGTCCTCTGCGCAATTTCGGGTGGGGAGGAAGCTCAAGGCTCAAAAATTTCTCCAACTCTAACCTCTCTGTTTCTGAGCCTAAAGAATCTAAATTCTGTTTATCCGTAACACTATCCGGCCAGGCTGTACTTGCTGCATGCGGCTCTTCAGGTCCCACAGTAGCAAAAGGAATATGAACTTCTCTAGCTGGAGAATCAAACTGACAAGCAAACAAATTAGGTAAAATATAGACGTGAAAGTTGGTTTTGATA